AAACAAACCGCAAACCTAACCCAAACCCAGAAAAGTAACTACCAGCCTACATTTCCCCCCCCCTTCCGTTAAAACAAAGAAAAAGAAGTGGAAAAGAAAGACAAAAAACCGGTACAACGAAGAATACACCCTCCCCCTCAGACCGACTTCTAGAAGCACCATCCGTTCAGCAACATGTTAACAAAACAAAAAAGACTTGAACCCAGAACATCAGAAACAAATCAAGGGCGCGTAAACGTGGCGGTGTGATAACACCTCCGACTTTTTTCTTTTCTTTTTTCCCTTTTCTGGGTTTACTGGAAAACATTTGCTTTTTTCGCACCTTCTATCCAAGTCGACAAACCCAACTATCCCTCATTAAGCCACTGACGAAAATAAATCGTAGACAGCGTAGAGCAAAGTGAGGCAAGGCAGAGAGCAACACGTTCAAGCCAGTCACCGGTATACGTTTTTCGGAAAAAGCAAATATATCTTTCCCACTCCTAAACAGGGAAACTTCCGGGTTTGGGGGAGTTGGCTTTGAGGGTTTCTTTGCTTTTGGAGATCATGCGGTGTGCCTTGTTTTTTTTTCTTTCTTCCTCTCTATGGATGCAGATGTCAGATTTCTCGCCAAAGGGATAGGGTTATGCAAGTTCTAACTTTTTTTTACTTATTTCGTGGGGGGAGGGGAGGCTGGGCTAGGCTGGGGCTGGGTTGGGGGGGTGGGAGATCAGATGCAGAGAGAGGGATAGTAAGGTAGGGCTGCGAAAGTATGCATATTTTTTTCCTTTGCATTGCTTTTTTCTTTTTCTCTCTTAGTGGGATAATTGTTCCGGTGAGGATGGGGGGCGGACGGAGAGAGAGGTAGAGAGTGGGATGGCGGGTTAGTATGCTATGCTGGTGGGAGATTGGGTCGCGACCATTCCGAAGGCGGATATTGCGGCGGTGAGAGAAATTTGGGGGAGGGGGCTTTTTTTCTCTGTCTGTCTCTCTTTGGGGGCGTATGCGGTTGGTCTTGTGATGGGGGAGCACGTGGGTGGTGAGGGATGGCGTCAAGTGTGCTCTAGTTGATGTTGTTCACACGACGGGGTGCAGTAGGGTTGGAAGGATCTCGATCTCTTTCTGCAGTTGTGAGAGATGGGTTTAGTGTTTTTAGGGAGTTTAGAGAGTTGCAATGTGGAAACTTATGGCATGTTATCAGATATCTAAGACATGTTATGGATGAAGTTGATGAACGTGAGACATCAAGTTGGATTAGAATATTGGAATATCAGACAATTAACTTAGCGTCTAAGTTTCTCGTATACATATATATCCTATAAAATACACGTAGTCAAGTTATCTGACGGGCACATTGAGAAGTAGAGAAGTGTAGTGGAGTGAACGTGAACGGTGAACGTAGTCAGCGGGTGCCTTCCTGCTTCAGGACGACCCGAGGTGGGGCCATGCGCTCACCTCGAGTACGATCAACACCAAACAACGCGTTGTAACGCGACCAACCGCCACAACTGACGCTCCTTGACTTGATCGTCTGCTTCGCCTGGAGCGTGTTCTTGAGGTGTACACAACACTCAAAATGTTTTCCCTACCTATGATTGCGCCGCGCCCAGTAAGTGCTTCCTACTTTTTGTGTTCAGATGCTCGACGCTGCAACCAGCCGCAACACCTTTAAGAAGCATGTCGAATATAGAGAATAGAAGACTGACGCAATAAATAGGACGCCAGTCTGTGGCCCTCTCTCCACAATACACATGCAGCATTTGAAGACACACAGTCACAGTCCCCGCCCAATACGTCGCACAACCAACGACGCCCAACGCACCATACACCCCACCACAACCAAAACCTACTACTGTCCAGCCTCACAGCTGATGAAAATACCATTTCCCAGCGAAAACTCAATGTTCGTCGTTTCGGCGCAGGATGGCTGCGTCCTCCGGGCGTATCCAAAACCCTCCAAGCCATCAAAGACGAGGAGCTCGAGAAAGAGGAACAAGAAATGATGCAGCGCCGCGAACAAGTAATGATGGACTTAGCTGCTGCGCAGCAAGAAGCCGCAAACGAAGAGCAGCGTGAACGCGGCGAAATGGAAGAAGAAGCCGGTATGGGCGAAGAAGAACGAGACCTAGACGACGAAGTCCCCGAAGCCGAAGAAAGCATGAGCGAATCCTCCTCTACCGCCGCTAGCAGCAGCAACAGTGGCAGCGGCAGCGGGTCAGAAGACGAGCAAGAAGAACAAGGTAGCGAAATCAGCGACGACGCACAGGAAGAAAGCACCGTCCCCTTCAACGAAGACAGCTTCATCGAAGGCAGCATGATGGAAGCAGAAGTCTCGCACATGCTCGAGATGGAAGAGGCGGAAATGACAGGTGTCCTCCAAGACGAACGCGATCTTGACGACGATGTACCCGAAGCTGGAAGTTATGAGCATACGGATTCGGAACTCGAGGATTCAAGCGACTTGGATAGTTCGGCGCTGCCGACAGGACTTGCGTCAGCAAGGTCGAGACGCTCGGCCAGGAGGCGCCGATCGAGTGGAAGACGCAGTTCTGGGCGTCGTAGCTCGGGGCTCCCTGGGGGAATGACGTTGGGTGCGCATCCAACGGCTGGACGAGTTAGTCTGGGTGTTGATTTGGGGAATGGGAGGAGTAGCTTTGGTATGGATGGAAGCAGCTCGTTTCTTGACGGAAGCTCTTTCTTGAGGAGTTCACCTGCGGGGAATGCGGCGGCTAATCGGGGGTCGTTGCGAGATCGCTTCTTGGGCGCTGCGAGGGGTGGGGGGAGTAGTGGAGGTGGTGCTGGATGGAGAGCTTGATGTGATGGTTTGATGTGATGGTTTGACGAGTGATGAGTTTGTATTGTATAGATACCCAGTGGCGGTGCAAGACTGTACCGCAGTACTAATGAGTAGAAAGCATGTGTAAAATAGCATGAGTGGCTCATAGATATAGAATGTCAGGATATGTGTGGCACCTGTCACACACAATATTGCTGTCTGCATGAGTTTAGATGTCTTGTCCAATACATTCATACTCATGAAGAGACATACTATACATATCTCAACCTGCCGTACAATATCCTATCGGAGTGTATATTCTGCTTACAGAATCTGTCAACAAGAGCCTCTATTGCATCGTGCATGATAATATGCTATTTTGTGTTCAGTACGTTCTTACCACCTTCTTGTCTTGGAAAATTCTCAAGTTCCAATTCAACCCCTCAACTACATACCCCGTGACTAGACATCCTGTCTCAACTACTCCCTCAGCATGAGATATTAGATATGTCGCATGTCGCAGCACATGGAATCTTGAACAGAGAGTGGACTAGAGTACAGTGTATGTAGAGTGTAGTACCTACCTCTTTTAGTGTTGGTCGTGTGCAAACTGAAAAGTAGGGTCATGGGTGTTGCAGAATTCAATAACCGAGTGACTCAATTCGCTTTCCAGCCTGCTAGAAGTTGGAGGTTGATTCTAGTTGATGGACTATGAGAATTGGGGACTATGAGGGTCGCATTGACTTGATTGGGACCTATGTGTACATTGGTGTCGTCCAGGTGAGACATGGGTTATGGTTTTGGCAGATTTGCTAAGACTCGCATTCGGGATGTCTACAGCGGCAAATGCCTGTAACGAGTTGGACGCTTTTGTGGAAGAGATATGTGGTGGGTTTGAGCATGAGAAATAAGGTAGTGACGAAATTAGATATCAAAAATGGCAGAGGATGAGAAGGTAGTCAATGAGATTATTCAATAGTGAGAAAAATATCCAGCTTGTCAAACATCGTAGTAATGGTAAAAAAACTGTACGTGGGTAATCTCATCATCGAACCTAGGACGTCGTATTTGATCATGATAAACTGTTCATTTCTTCACAATGCAAAAGAATCTTGGTGTATATCGTCACAGCCATATGTTTGAATTGGTATTCTTGATTTTTCCCTTTTACTTGCACCCAGCGGTACATATACAGCGGTTAGTGGGATGCAAAGATGTTGCGTGTACGCAGGTGGACTGGTGTCTCTCCCTTGGGCGTATCTGGTATCGTCTTCTCCAATTTCTGCAGGGAATGAGTACACAGAGTGACAGGGGAACTTTTCCAGACATACCAGCTTGTCAAACACACACTTGTTCAGCTTGCGCTCTTCCGACCGACAGTTCCAGAGTTGCTGGTTGTGGTTCTCGAGACACTGCCAATGGGTGCGGAACTGACTCAGGCAGTTCTCGTTGATGTCTTTGATACTGGCGCACATGTCAGCACCCGCCTCATCCTGCAATTACAGTTCGAGTACGCACACGCTCGCGGCACACCTGGTGACCTTACGGCCTTCCTTCATGCACTCGAATTCACCCCGGCCGTTGGCCTCGGTCTTGCACATCATGTAGTCATCGTTGAAGGGCTTGCAGCGCGCGCCAATAAAGTACGAGGCACTGAGGAGGGGCGCAGAACTGGCTCCGAGCTCTTGGACCTTGGGGATGTCGTCAGGTAGAGGGGTTGTGTCGATGAGGGCTTGCTGGTTGAACCTGGATTGAATAATTAGGCCATGGAGCTTACAGCTGGGTTCAGAGGGCGCATTTACCTGGGCTGGCGCGACGACATGGTGGCGAGTGGGTGCCAATGGCGGACTATCGACCTGGGAATTGAAGATGATGGTAGCCAGGTCGTCGCGGAAGTCGGCTTGGCACTTCACTAAAACTGGCAGGGATGTGACGGGGCCGCCGCCTGTGCCTGAACCTTTGTCAAGCAGAGACAACAATCTCTCTTCACTCTCGCGCCTGCATCTCAACTGCACTTTTGCGTCGCCTCGCACACAGTTCATCGGCCGGAATGCACGCCCATTGAGCTACACTGTCCTTGTTTTTAGCGCCAGCATCTCTACGAGGCCCTGCTCGCGTTTCCTACCGCGACCGAAAACAAACAACCCGGCGCCCGACAGTCCGCGACTTGAAGACACCGTCACTCGTTTCCTTAATTCACGAGCAAGCTTGAATAAACACCCGCATAGCGCGCATTCTCTTCAACATGTCTTTTAGCTTTGGAAATATTGGCGGTGGAGAAAAGAAGACGGGCACATTGTTTGGAAGCACTACAGCACCAGCTGGTGGTCTCTTTGGCCAATCGCAGCAACAGCAACAGCAACCTCAGCAGTCGAGCAACACGGGCGGTGGTCTTTTTGGTTCTGCGGCACCGGCCCAGAACAACACCACGAGCTTGTTTGGCTCGACACAACCACAGCAACAGCAGACCACGGGCTCTAGTCTGTTTGGCCAACCACAGCAACAACAAAATGCCAGTGCGAGCTTGTTCAGTCAGCCCCAGCAGCAGGCGCAACAACAGCAGCCCAACATGAGCAACAGTCTATTTGGCGCCTCGCTCCAGCCTGCCCCTATCCTAACCAGCGTGCAGGCGCAAAGCATCCAGCAGCAGCGCGAAGGGCTTCCCCAGCTGCGCCAGTCTTCAGCACAGCCTTTCGCCGGCTCTACCATGAGCGGTCACAGAGAAAAGTCGGTCGTCGAGCAGATACGAATCCTCAACAACAAGTGGGATCCAGAGAACCCGGAATGCGTATTCCAGTTTTACTTCTACAACTCTGTCAAGCCAGAAGAAGCGCCTTTCTACGGGCCCTCGCAAGGCGAAGATGAGCGAAAATGGGAGGAAGCCCTCTCAAAGAAGCCGAGCCCAGGCGCCATCCCCGTACTGGCGCGTGGTTTCGAGCAAGTTGGAGAGCGCATACGGCAGCAAGCTGCGGCCGTCACCGCGCTGCGCACACGTCTTCACGAGATCAACAACAGTCTCTCGTTACTCAAGGATGCACATGAGCTGACGGTAGCGTCGCGCATCACCGAAGCCAAGCGGAAGCACATTGTTTTTACCCAGCGAACACTTGCCCTCGCGACCAAAGTACAAATCTTGCGAAACCGAGGATACGTCATGGACCCACAGGAAGAGGACTTGAAGAAGAAGTTGATTGAGCTGGAGAAACAGACTTTTGACCCCGTACTCGGAGGTCGGCAAGAGGAGATTTGGGCGCGCATGTCCAGCGTGCGCGAGCGTGCGCGGATACTACAAGAGGAAACAGAGAAGCTGGGCAGGACCATGGACAAGCAACAGAACGGCGAGCTTCTTTCAGAAGAAGATCAGAAGGCACTGGAGAAGGTGAGATACCAACTACTATCAGATACTAAACCACAAGCTAACGTTATCCTCCAGCTGCTGAAAGATTACGACCGTCAACTCGAGCACCTTAAAAAATGGGTTGATGATACTAAGGAAGAGTATGACGAGTGGGAAGCAGCAAAGCAAGCAAGGCCAGCGAAGCGATAATTTCATAATGTACTTTGGCGCTTTGAGCATGTATGATTCACTAGAGATGTGGGGGTTTATATTGCCAAAAGTTGGGCGTTGTGAGATACCAAGCGGCGGATGCATAGAAACCGATAATAGTCTTAGCGTCCCGGGAGCGTTGCTACCATTCTGTACACTTTGTCTTGTAATGCTCATCTTGGAAAGGACCACGAAACAATGGAAACTCTTGCATTCGGGATATCATTACATTCGGTGACCAGCGTTTTCCGTCAGGCAACTCGTGTGCCTGCCTTGGTAGTGTTACAAGCGCATTCTTGACTACATGCGCATATATGATACAGTTGCCATTCGTTTCGACATCACGCTCCTCTCACCCATAAAGGATGGGTGTGTAGGCGGGTGCGGTATGCGACATTCCGTTTAGAAGAACTTGGAGACGTATTCGACGAGATGCGGCGCTGCTGATGATCAGCCCAAAATACACCTGCCCAGCTCTGGATAAATTTGCTTACAAAAGTACAAGACAACAGCGCTGGCTGCCGTCCACTTGATATCGGACATGGTCTGCGCCTCTGCGGCGGCAAGCTCCTGCTTAGAAGGCTGTGGTGGTGCTGCGTCCATTGTCAGCCAAAATCTGCACCGATAATTCGCCCTTCTCTCTCCCTCTTACATCCCGGATAGGGTTTGACTAACCTCCGAACATGGTTGCTATGTGGTTGGATCCGAGAGAGTTGGGTGTTTAGAGTTTGACTTGAGAAGGCGGAGCTCACAGATGACGTTCACAACGGGCACTTTGATATGCAAAAGTTTGGAGTCGTCGGCGTTTGGGCGCCGGATGCTGCCGACGCGGTCAGGGGGTCACGTGCAGGCATATATCTGTTCACGATACTTTGCATTAACCGACTTGTTTGCTTCTCTTGAGGATCTGCTCGCCCTGGCTTGCATGATCGGCAGGAACTCACCTACAGTTGAATCCTTTGATCTTCCATATGCAGGTTGAATTGCTGTCTGCCGCTGCCCTGCAGAAAGGAGAGATGGTTGCGGAGCCCAATCGTATAACAGCAACAGAAAACGCCCAAGCAAGTCTATCTTCCATGAACGGTATGCACTTTTCCTCTCTAGGTTTACAAAGCGAGTTATCAATGTCAGCGACCATCTCAGATGCGGCGTAAAATCCGTGAAAAGAAATGTAATCTTGTCAGATCGGACTGCCTCTCTGGCGCTCTACTGCCCCTGTCTGCTGATGGTTTCGCGTCCGCTATTTTTGTTAGCACGCTTCCCAATCGAATCTCAACCGGGTGACAAGAGTGATCAACGGGACAGTAAGAAATCGGTACTAGCCGTCTGTGTCCTGTTGGTTTCCCAATGCCAATGGAGGCATCTTTGGTATGCGCGTTGTCGCGTCACGGGCACTATGCTATAGGCTAGACAACGGACTAAAGTTAACTGCAACCCATGAGACGATCATCATTACACTACATACTAACAGACACAACCACTCTCCTATGTTTAGGAACTCTGAAACAAATCTCGGTATGATTCTGAAGGGTCGATTTAAGGTCTGAACCTAATTGGCCTCGATTGTCATCCCGCCCCCAACAGGGATCAGCTGTGGCAAGCCGCAAGGACATGTCGTCGTTGACATACCCGCGGCCATCCTGCACAACACCAAGCCTGAACGGACCATGCTGCGCCCACAAATTTATCTTAGATTATTGGCTAATTGCATAGATAGGCATGATCTTCACACCCCGGCTTATATTGTGCTCGGGTCCATGACGCTAACCGGTATGCCCTGGGGTACTCTTTAATGTGGAGTCCCCTTGCACCTAGATGCACGGCTGATATAGATAGAGTAAGCCTCGTCATCGTACGAGTCTATACAAATTCTTCTTCTTGTCACTCCTTTACTTGTTGTTTCAGTGTTTGGAAATGGTCAATCCAACGGCCGTTGTACTCGGCTTGTACTCGACATGCGCACTCGCGCTCAATGCTCGCTATGCTCACGAACCTGCCGACATCGCCGCTCGCGCGGAGTCCCTCGCCCATCCACATGTGAAGCCTCGCCAGCATCTTATCTCTGAATTCAATTGTGCTCCGTATTGGATGGAAAATATCAAACACCAAGGCATTGCTAGCTTCAATCCAAACCCAAACAACTATACAGTCTTTAGGAATGTCAAGTCGTACGGTGCAGTTGGCGATGGCGTCACGGACGATACCGCGGCTATCAACCGAGCCATCACAGACGGCAACAGATGTGTACCTGGCAATTGCTCGAGTTCTACCAACACACCTGCTGTCCTGTATTTTCCAGGTGGAACATACTTGGTATCTGATGCCATTAAAGACTATTACAACACTCAAGTATGGTACTCATGATCATTCACCAAGACTAATATTGACTAACAACCCCAGATTGTTGGAAACCCCAACTGTCTACCTACCATCCTTGCTGCTGCCAACTTTTCTTCTCCTGGTGGAACAACAATCCTCGATGGTTCTGGCTATGGATCTACCGTCTCTTTCTACCGCCAAATCCGCAATATCATCGTCGACACTACAAGGCTACCCACCAACTTCTCAGCTGTCTCAATTTACTGGCCAACCGCACAGGCAACTAGTATCCAAAATGTCGTGTTTAACATGAACCCCAACAATGGGACTACGCATATTGGTCTGCTCATCGACTCGGGTTCCGGAGGTTTCATGACTGATTTGGTATTCAATGGCGGACGCCGGGGCTTCCTAGTTGGAAACCAGCAGTTCACTACGCGTAACCTTACATTCAACAATATCGACACTGCTATTGAGATGTTTTGGGACTGGGGCTGGACATACAAGTCTGTGTCTATTAACAACTGCCGTGTTGGATTGAACGTCTCTTCCGGAGGTTCTTCATCACAGAGTATAGGATCCATTACATTGTTCGACAGCGAAATCAAGAACACAAAGGTTGGCATTGCTACTGCCAGGACGGATACTTCTCAGCCTGCTGCTGCTGGAGCCCTGTATCTGGAAAACGTCAAGTTTGACAATGTACAGGCTGCTGTACTTGGCCCTAATGGAACTTACCTCGCAGGATCTTCCGGTTCCGTGGTTGTTGATGCTTGGGCTGATGGGCACCGTTACACTTCTTATGGTGGACCTGATATCAAACGTGGTCGTATCGAGCCCACGCAACGACCAGCTGACTTGGTGGATGCCCAAGGAAAGTTTTACGAGCGATCGAAACCTTCTTATGGAGAGGTGCCCTTGTCTCAGTTCCTCAGCGCTCGCGATCTCGGTGCTACTGGAAACGGTCGTACGGATGATACCGCTGCTCTCAATGCTGCTATCCTGAGAGCCAAAGAAGAAGGCAAGATTCTGTTTCTTGATGCGGGATACTACAAAGTCACATCGACCGTTTACGTTCCTCCTGGCTCTATCATTGTAGGCGAACCGATTACGGCTGTCATTCTTTCTTCCGGTTCTTTTTTCAACAAAATGGCAGAGCCCCAACCTGTTCTTAGAATTGCTCTTCCAGGCGAAACGGGCCGAGTCGAGATTTCAGATCTGATCGTCAGTACCCAGGGCCAACAAGCAGGGGCCATACTTTACGAGTACAATCTCGGTACATACGATCAGGAGCCAGCCGGTCTCTGGGATGTGCACGCCCGTATCGGCGGTTTTGCAGGATCAGAACTCCAAACTGCACAGTGCGAGAGGACGCCTAGTAATGTGACGATTACTGAAGGCAATTTGGACCAGGATTGCATTGCTTCATACATGACAATGCACGTAACAAAATTCGGTGCTGGATTGTACATGGAAAACAACTGGCTTTGGACCGCCGACCACGAGCTCGATACCCGCGGTGAAGCCCAACTCACTCTCTATGCCGGTCGAGGTCTACTTGTTGAAAGCATCAACGGACGACTATGGCTGTAAGTTCCCTTCCTCATCCCCCACCCATTACCAAGAAGAGAAAACTAATATTAATTGGAAATAGCTACGGCACCTCAGTCGAACACCACACCCTGTATCAATACCAATTCGTCGACACCCGCAACATCTTCATGGGCCAAATCCAAACAGAAACAGCATACTACCAACCAAACCCCAACGCCACCATTCCCTTCCCCGTAAACCCTTCCCTCTCCGATCCCGTCTTCAACTCCTCCCCTGATCCCTCCGCCCCTCCTTCCACTCTAATCCCCTTATTCGAAACCCCCTCCAACGCCACATCCCCCTCATCCAACTCCACCGCCCCAAGCCCCAACACAGTCTCCGGCTGGGGCCTCCGAATCATCCGCAGCAACAACATTCTCGGCTACGGTATCGGTCTCTACTCCTTCTTCAACAACTACAGCACAAACTGCTCGCGCGTCGATGCTCCGACGGCGTGTCAGCAGCGAATTCTGAGTATTGAGGGCGCAACGTCGACGTATGATGTTAGCTTTTACAATTTGAATACGGTAGGGAGTACGCAGATGATTACGCGGGATGGCGTGCAGGTTGCGGGTGCGGCGGAGAATAACAGTACGTTTATTGATACGGTGAATGTGTTTAGGATTGATGGGTTTGGGGCGTGAGATGGAAGGCTGAAAGGGGGAGTTTGATATGGTTCTCGTGTATAGGTTTTGAGTGGGAATCAAGTTCATGTGTATTTAACATACGTCTTTTTACTTCTAGAACCTCAGGGATTCAAATGTTAACAGAGATATTGAAAATACGTTACAAATTCAGCAATCAGCGATTAAAACATGAATCCATTGGATATATAGTGTACAGTATAGGCTTTTCAAGGAAAAACTGACCCAATCTCATAAACAATCCTAAATGCGCAGAGTAACGCCCGCTATGCATTCTCCCGTGTGACCCCCAAGTCGCGCATATGAAACTACTGGCAAATGTCCCTTCCACGTCCAGGATATAGCTGTAATACAAAATCAAGGCAGGCAAGAAGAGAAAAGTAAAAGGTGTTGAGAGACAATGTCTGCTTGGCACGATACCAGCTCAGCGCCTGCCACCACCGC